CGCCGGGGACCGAGAGAGGCGGGACGAGGGGAGGTGGAGGAGGGACGGGGAGGCGGGGGCGAGGGGAGTGTGGGGGCACGGGGACTAGGGAAGGCCCCGCCCTCCCAGGTCCCCGTGCCCCCCACCTCCCCTCGGTCCCCCACCTCCCCTAGGTCCCCGTGTCCCCAGCTCCCCTCGGTGCCCCTGCATCCCCTGCTGTGCACGAGGGGCGGAGGAGGGGTGCGGGCGCCGGGGCGCAGGGCGCTCGGTCCGCGCCGACTGCAGCGGGAGGAACCCGGGCAGAGCGCCCGGCGCCGGCTGCGAGGAGCAGGACCCCGCGCCCGGCTGCGGTTCCCACGCGCTGCGCTGTGTCTGCGGCCACCTGAGTCCGCCCCGCGAGACAGTAACCTAAAGGCGCCCGAGAAAGCGGCGAGAAACCCGTCTGGGGTGGGCGGGCGTCCTCTGCGGCTGGCTGGCGGGGTTGGGTTGGGCAACTGAAGATCAAGAAGAATATTAGAGCGCATTTTGGGGGGGACCGGGCGCGGCCTCACCAGAGGAAATCGGGTGGACTGGAAAACCCCGGGCTGGTGCGCGGGCCGCAGCTCAGCGCGGGTCTTGGTCACGACGGGGAGTCGTTCTCTTCCCAAACTGGCAGCCTCCGGGCGGGCGGCCCCGGGTCGCGCCGCACCCACGCGGGAGCAGCGCTGCCTCCGGAGGCTACGGCCGCGTGGGCACGTCGGGCCGGCCTGGCGCAAGAGCTGGTTGTTACCCAGCAAATGGAAAAGCACTAGGAACGAGAAATAAAACGGGTAATTTTTGTTTTCATTTGGAAGTAATTTCACAGGCACACAAGTTAGAAGAATAAGGATCGTACAAAAAGCCTCCAGTTACCCTCTCTGTACATTCGGCCGTCAACGTTTACCTCGTGGGGTTTATCATTTGCGTCCTCGCGATCATTTCACCCTGTATCTGTCAATATCTGTCATCATCTATCCACCTGTCACCTATCGTATATTATCTGTCACCTACCTATCAGTCATTGCCTGTCATCTACCTACCTGTTATCTATTATCAATCATATGCCTGTCACCTGTTATCTGTCCTCTATCTATCGTCATCTACCTGTCATCTACCCAGCTGTCATCCACTTGTCATCTGTTATCTATCTACTGTGTCATGTCGTCTACCCTCTACCTACCTATTGCCTCTCCTCTACCTACCTGTTATCTGTTGTCAATCATCTACCTGTCACCTGTTATCTGTCCTCTATCTATCGTCATCTACCTGTCATCTACCCAGCTGTCATCCACTTGTCATCTGTTATCTATTCTTACTGGTGTCATGTCGTCTGTCCTCTACCTACCTATTGCCTCTCCTCTACCTACCTGTTATCTGTTGTCAGTCATCTACCTGTCACTATCTACCCTTATCATCATCTACCTGTCATCTACCTACCTGTTTCTATTATCAATCATCTGCCTGTACCTGTTATCTGTCCTCTATCTATCGTCATCTACCTGTCATCTACCCAGCTGTCATCCACTTGTCATCTGTTATCTATCTACTGTGTCTTGTCGTCTGTCCTCTACCTACCTATTGCCTCTCCTCTACCTACCTGTTACCTGTTGTCAGTCATCTACCTGTCACTATCTACCCTCTATCATCATCTGCCTGTCATCCGTCACCGTCTGCCTGTGTCAGCGGGAAACTGTGTTAGAGCACAAGATCTGCTCTTAGCTACGCCGCCTGGGATCTGGACGCGTATTGTGTATGTTCATCAATTTCATAAATATGTTTTATTTCCTGTCCCACCCTGGGCACATTTGTAAATGGGAATGACGATACATGCCTCCCCACCTCAGAGGGTCTCCGAGAATCAAGGTAACTAATACACACATAAATATTTGTTTGAAAATTACCGCACCAGGTGCAGTGGGGTCAAGTTGTGGGTGAGACATAGGCCCGCCCGGTGGAGTTCCGGTCCCAGGGTGGGTACCCAACGTGGGATAACTGCAGAGGGAACGAGGTTAGCAAAGGAGAGGCAGGAGGGTGCGCTTTTCCCGGAGGGTCTTGGAGGAGGGAAGTCCAAATATGACTGGATACTAGACTTCTGTACAAAATTCACCCTCTCCATCCCCAACAGAAAGCCTGTTGGAGAACTTTGTCAGTTTTAGTTTGTCTTCCCGTGTGCCCGGGTCATGGCCCCACAGGCACGGGGTGTGCATTTGTCACGTGTGCACAGTGAAATCCTGAGGGTGTGGGAGACGGTGGGGGGGCCTGGAGAAGGGAGGGGAGGCCCTGCAAGTGTTGGGGTGACAGGAGCCCCTGGGCCACAGGGGCTGCAGGGCTTGGGGGTCGGGGGGCAGGCACAGAAGGTTCTGGACCTTCGGAGAGAAGATGTGCTGCCTTTCAAAATGTCTTGTTTTTTAGGGAGAAGAGAAGAAAATAAACAACTTTAAAGAAACAAAATTGAGAACTATTTTTAGCTGCATATTAAGCAGAGATAAGAATCTAATTGAGGAGTAAATTGGTGAATGGGACTAAGTTTAAACATTTGCTTGGAAATGAACAGGGAAGAATAATTAATTGCTCAAGTGGCCCTTTAAACACTTAATAATGTTCTCTTGGGAGTAATTAAAGCATCACGTGGACTGAGGGACTTCCCAAGCCTAATTGTCCTCCAGCACCAACTCCCTTTCCGCACAGACCGGAGCTTTTAAAATATCAAGAACTTTTGTCCTCGTCTTTTCATTAGAATGTTGCTGCATTCTCTTTGTTCTTTAGTCTTTTTTCCTGTTGGCTAGCCTGTTTTATTAGGTCTTTCCCTAACTCCAAGGGCACTTTGGAAAGGGACGGCTGGACCGGCCAGGTGAGGGAGGACCAGGTCTCACAGCCACTCCCTCAGCACGGTGAATTTTCAAAGTGTTCCTGCCACCAGTCACCAAGTGATGCTTCCCCAAGACGTGACGCCAGCGGCCAGTTTGAACCCCTACTCTGGCCAGCACCCTCCTCTCCAGGACCTGGATGTCTCCATCTCTTAACCGTGTGCGGCCGAGGACCGGGCTGTGGCTGGCCG